AAAGCAGAAAAATAGATGTTGGGAAGCAATGTCAAAGTGCTACCCACATACATGATGTGAGCTGAGATCCGCTCATAATAGGCGGAGCGTGTTCTGAAGTGGACAGCGCTCCGCCTAGCTACAAGTCATTATAATTCGGTCAATGGATAGCCCAGAGACCGGGGAAAAGTGGATAAAGGTTGGCAAGGAAGAAAACGACGACTGGGCATGGCGTGCACCAAAATGGGCGGAGTTTGCTACCAAACTCCATGACTCGGTTTCAGGAAGTCCCGAGGAAAGGGAAAAAAGTGGACAGGTTGACGAAGGAAAGGAGGTGAGACGTCCTTTGTGGGTGGGGCTGCACCGAAATAGATCGAGTTTACAGCAAAATTTATAAGTCGGTTTAGAGGCGGTCCAGAGACCGGGAAAAAGCCGACAATAGTTGACGAACGAATGAATGTCACAAGCCATTGGTGGGAGGGGCATGCACCGTGGTGGGCTTGTAAGTTGTGAATGCTGTGGAAGGCGACGATTTTTGAAAGTAATATATGAGTCGTCATTGGAGTGTCCCTACCAATTTGTACCACACTCTTCTCCCCTGCGTTAGTTCCGCGCAGTCGCAGGTTCCGCTGTCGCCATGACTTCTTTTAATGGTTAGCTCCTTCTTGATCACGTCCCTCCACCTCTTCTTTGGGGCTCCTCGCGGTCGCTTGCCTTGCGCCGCATTCCTTATCGGGTGACCCTGTGGTCTTCTTAGCACATGTCCATACCACCGCAGTCGTTGCTCCCTCACCTTCAGCTGGACAGGGGCAGTCTGCATTACCAATTTGTACCACACTATATTTTCAGTAGAGCCATTTGATTTCAGTATGTTGCAATCAAAGCCATTCAGAGCAACAGTGAGCACATACTTGAACACGGGAACGTGATTTCCCCACGTAGGTGTAGGCTGGTAGATCACCTTGTTCGGATGGTACTTTGCCTGAAATATAGTGTATTACTCTGACAATCCAACTGGCTTATTTAACTTCTTTTTAATTCAACTCCACCCAAAAACAAAAACGGAATGCAAAATAACTCACAAGAAATTCAGATCCGATCCGCAAAGCGCCTGTGCCAGAGATGCTCTGCATTGTAGTTATACGACCGGATTTGATCACTTCAGAATCCTCACCCAGACCCAACTTTGCGGCAACCTTCGTGAATTCAGGTATTCCTTCAAATAAGATGGAAGTGTCACGACAAAAAGAAAGAAAGTCTCGACAAGCATAGGAAAAATCGCTTACCAGCAATGCCAGCATATTCATGGTTGAGCTTTTCTCCAAGTAGACGGATCTCAGCCTCACGAACACAAGGTAGAACGAATGGTTTACCCTGGAACAGAATGTGCATATGGATCAGGGAAAGGAAGAAAAGAACTGATGATACTGATGTCAGAACGGTCAGCTGCGAACCCGCATCACTTCCACAGATGAACTGCTTACCAGAATATGAATATCAACATCGACTACAGGACAGACCCTTTACGCTTTTCTGCTGTACATATTCCACTTGTTTTCTATCATATACGCTTTTCTACTACCCTCCTTTCAAAAACGAAAAGCGTCGGGTGCAGACCATACACCACAAGTGACGACGGCCTCCACAAAATGTAAATGTTTTCTGCCAATGAAATGATTAGCCTGTTGCAGTTGTATTCTATCGATTGTCACTAATTACAACTATCATTTTTGGTAAGTGATAGTATAATGTGAACAATACGAAGTTAAACACTTACCAAAAATTAAAAACTATCACTATGAACCACTACTAACCAGATTTACTTGGAGGCCGTCGTCATTTGTGGTGTATGGTCTGCACCCGACAATCTTCTCGTTTTTTGGAAGAGATGGTAATTGCAGGCACTTCGCTGGAGATAACATGCTTTACGGCGAGACACAAAAAAGCGACGGTAACCTTTTTACAGCTCTTTAAGCGCGAGCACACACAGCTTCCTCTTGGTCGCAGTGGCTGCCCAGCTTACTTCAGTGCTCTCCCTCTCCACAAAAGATCGTCCCTCCCTGCAAAAGACGTTTAAGGACCATCCCGTTAAATCGCTCGACCCATTCTTAACCCCGCCCTGGACGGGTATCAATAAGCAGTCCCTGAGAAGCCGAGGCGCTCATCTCGTCAGGGGTCTTCTTCTGTGCTTAGTCGAGATCGCTATTGGGTGAACACTAACGACTAACTATAAGCCCAGGAAGAAGAAAACGCCAAAAGGAAGGACAAAATTGGTCGGGCACCACCCAGAGATTCCTTCTTCCCTTGAGCTTAGCGTAAGTAGTTTAAGTGACTCCATTCATTTGAAATATTCTCTCCCCTACCCCGACATGAATCGCCCGATTACTGTTGAATGAACTAATTGGGTATTTTTTGGAACAAGACGCACATTCCCGGCCTCCAACCAAGTTTTTCAAGAAAGACACTGTCAAATGAAACTGTCTTGGTGTTCCTGTTAGTAACAGTTAAAAGGAAAGGCGCTGTGCGTTCCTTCAACTTCAGCTCACATTTTCCATTTCACTCGACTTTCCCTAACCAAAACATAGGTATACTCGATATCGGTAAGTTGGGGTGGGCGTGTCACCGGAAGTGACGTGCACTTGATAGAAACTATGTGGATAAGCTGCTTCCAACATACATCGCTGGCTATCAGCAAAGCATGCTGGCAACAGCTTATCCACGCACTTCTATCAAGTGCACGTCACTTCCGGTGACACACCCACCCCAACTTTCGGATATCGACTGTACGTTTATTGAATAATGAAGAAAGTAAACCGCTGTTCCTGTTGACAAACGAGGTAAGATGAAATTTAGTTACTTAAGTTCTTAGTTCTGTTTATTTATTTACTCCATTTCTTTATTTATTCCATTCCGTTTTATTTCCATTACCAGATTGGCGTGAACCTCGCCCATCGGGTCGCGCTCCGTCCCTCTACTGTCTTTTTAGAATAGTGGTTAATGCAATTGCTCTGAAGTGTCATGGCCGTGGTTACTTAATTGTCGCCGCTTTCTTGCTCAACTTAAAAAAAAAAAGTAACGGCGACCTTTGTAGAGTTCGCTCCTCGCAGAAAAGAAGTTGTAATTTTCCCCCTGTTGCAAGCATGGAAACAATTCACTCTCTTTGCGAAAGCGAACTCCCCTAATTGAAGCTACCCCAGTCGCACAAACTATTGCACCTGAATTCCCCTCTCACTTTGCATCACAGACTCAAAACTCAAATCAAAAATTGTACTGCACCTGATCATCTCGATAGGCACCAACACCAAGATTCATCTTCTGTGGATTAGTGTCACGGTTGAACGCTTCGGTAACCCCAAGAATTGCATCCGGGGGACCCATTTCAACATGAGTCCACCACGTCCTGTAATAAAAATAAGCTCCATCTTGAAAGAATTCGACTCTTATCCACACATTATTGCTTTACTTCAGTTCAGCCAACTATGAATCCTGAAATTTCAGTTCTAATGGGACCGGAACACCATTTTGGCTTATTCGGCACGCTGGTTTCGAGTCTTATAACAACTCGACATTTTTGAGGCCACTTAAACTTAATCTTAAAATGTTTACTGTTTATTTGATGTTAATGTTATTTGAATATACGCTTATTGGATAATTTCAGAAAATCTGTTTATTTTCAAAATATTCATCAAGAACAATAGAGGCGGACAGATTGTTCAACCGCCCCTGTGGGACTTACACTCCCAATTCTTGTACTGCAATGCACAATGAACGGCTAAGGGGAAATTATCTTGTTTTCGTCTCCGCGGTTATCATGGGCCACTCGGCACGGCTAAAAAGTGGCTAACGTCAACATGTTATCATGAGCTCAGATAACGACTGAGAAAATCAGATTATACTCATGCTGTTTACTCATTAATATGAAGTAGCAGGAACTAGGCCGCCATGAAATTTCAAGACTGCCGAAATTTCTTTAACTGATGGTGAGGCCAATATTGAGGTGGACTAGCAAAAGTAAGATTGGTAAGAAATCAAGGGTTTGTGAGAAGGTTTCATCACGAAAGCTTTTGAAACATTTTCTTCGCATACATGAGCTGCCTTAACAAACTGCGTCGGAAGAGCATAGTTTTATCTGATCTATTAGAATTTTAATGTTCCTCAATTGTTTACACTCGTTTTCAGAGCCGGAAAAGAATACTGTTATCAGTGATAAAATTGTTGATAGATCAGTTATAGTTCTGTTTTGAAAATCATAAAAGTTACGAAGATACTCGTACAACGGGCAATCCGCAATTGCATTTTCACTTCCATTCCCAGAAAATATATAAGTTTTTCGCCATCAAATAAACTCACTTCGTTCGAATTGAATTCTTCAGCACTAGTCTAGCCGCCCTCATGGTTGTTCACCTTAAAAGTACGCATAAAGTACAAGTGGTCTGCACTCTTTGTTATAATACGAACAATCACTTTTCGAAGCGCTTCGAATCAATGAGGGGGCAGAGGAATGCCAGAAATTCAGATGGAAAAAGGAATTATCATCCTAGATTTACTTTCATTTCTCATCAGAATACCAAAGTTAATGAGTGAAGATGACATAGGAATCCGTCTATCAAGCCCCTGTGCGAGGGCGCATGCACAGTCAGTCGTCTGACAGCAACGATCTAACTGTCGCACAGCATTGGCCGATGTCAGACTTTGCGATTGGAGCGATTTTGCACCAATTGCAGGAGCGACGGATCGCTTGAGCGATGCGAGCGACGGGAGATTTACGAACTGATGGCGCCGAATTATCGGTGGTCGGCGGTGTAAATCTCCCGTCGCTCGCATCGCTCAAGCGATCCGTCGCTCCTGCAATTGGTGCAAAATCGCTCCAATCGCAAAGTCTGACATCGGCCATTAGATGCGTATCGATCGTCAGACTTGCCTGTGTATTCGACGACCGATATGTATCTGACGCTGTGCGACCGCTGCGATCGTTGCTGTCGGACGACCGACTATGCATGCGCCCGCCCCCCTGGGCAGGAAAAGTTCGATCAGGGAAATGAATATACTTTCAGACATTTTACGTTAATGCTGTGCGTAAATTTACAAGTACACTAGCGCTTTCTCCACCATCCAACGGATATGCCTCAAATTTTCGTATCTCGTTAACATTAGCACTCAACACCCACTCTGTAGTCCCCCTGAAGTCCTCTCGTCGAACCGGATAATGGCGAGGGACTCAGCAAGGCGATGCCAAACCAGCCATGAAAACAAGAAGGCAAAATACATGAAAACACCTCATCGCTGTTAAAACCATCCAGCTTCACACTCTAATGCTACGCATGTTGACCCACCTGTAAACAGCTTCGGGGTCGAATCGAATTATTGTAATACCCAATCAATCAAGTCAATCACGTCGCTCCTACCAACTGCATAACTCAACAAAGTTGAGAAAATGAAGTTCAACGAACTATTGAGGCAATCCCAAAAGTTATTATCAGTGAATCTTACGTTCTCCAAGTGTGCCCGAACACCAAATTTTGTCACATTTTGGAGCGAAAGGTTGGGAAGAAATAATGATATCACCAGCTTTACACTAAAGCTCAACTGAGGAAGAGATCTAGTTGTTTTGTGCTAGATGTTGCAAGACTTTGGTCATCACAATTCGGGATAGGCGTGGGTATATACGTTCAGAACGCACTTTGGAATGAAACGTCTGGCTCTCCAAACAAAGTCGCCGGTAGGAAACGATGAATGTACTTGGTAATACTTCTTATCGAGAGCATTCCATCCAAACATTCAATCACACAATGTTGACAGAAAATTTAAAGATAACGAGCGCCTCAAAACAGCCAAAATATCGACCGAAAACAGGGAAACCTATGACGATGAATGATACTTATCCCTTTGAGTCTGTTGAAAAATGGCATGGCTTTTCATCAGACTAACACTCGGCAGGAGTAACGAGCGCCTAACGCTTCAAATTGGATTCATCACAAAAGAAAAGAAATGTTTTGCAGAAATATTAAGCAGAAAGATGTAGATTCTTAGGTAGCTTTTACGAGAGAGATTGGATACGTACCAAAGTTCGAATCTCGTGGTCTTAAGTGATACTCACCGTTTACACAATAACCAAGTAAACAAATCTATGAATCACTCGAACGCATAGAAATTCGCTGTTAGAACCCCCCCCCCAAAAAGTGAGCATTTAGCTAATTTATTCCTTTAGAGTTAAAAAGCTGATATGCTTTGCAAATAATTTCTGATTACTATTCAAAGATATTATTTGAAGAAAGATGGGACTGCTGGAAAAGAATAATGCGCATCACATGAAACCAGTTTAGCTGCGCACGTATTCGCACAGGACTGCAATGGAACAGGGCCATCGATATTTTTCCAGTGACTTCTACATTGCTTTCATTTGATACTTATTTTATGACCAAACCCGCCCACCCCGGTGCACAAGCCACCCAACGATCACAGTCAAGTACATTAACATTTACCCTTTCCTCCTTCTCTGATCACATTCTCTTTTCGCGACTTCAGAGACTTCTCTGGACCGAATTAAGAGGATTTGTAATAAACATTGCCCAACTGAGGGCACGCACCCCCACCGTATCTGGGTTTCCGCTGAAATCAGGGATGTTAATAACGCATTACACGTAGCTCTTAGCTCGATTTTTCTGCTCTGTAGCCTTCTCCTTATTGGGTTACAAATTGTCATGAAACCACCATCCACTTAGAGAACGCTCCGCCCACCGTGAGCGGATCTCCCTAATTCGATTGAGCAACTCAGTGCACACCTATACCACTTTTTATGACGCTTCGGGCCATTCTATCTCGAAACTGTTGCCGTTGACAGCCCACCCCGCCCACTGTGAGGAGCTCCGCCAGCTATGTGTTTTGTACTTCTTATATCTTGTTCTGAAAGTACTTTCAGATAAAATGAGCAATTACTGGAAACAGTTGCAGTTCATTGCTCGATGAGCATTTAGCAAAGAAAAGCCAAGTGTATACGTATTAATTGACGCTCGAGCCGAATCATTCAAGGACGCCGCACATTAGTCGACTACTTACATCATTTGGTTCAAGGACTCGAAAGAATTTACTAGTTAATCATTGTGTGAAAGACCACCCGGACAGATGGCGTTGGAAAGAGCAATAGGTGTAATGTTCAGAGCAAAATCGTTGCCATTATGTTCCAGAACCAGAAGATTTCTGCTTACTGAGCTGAGGAGACTAATGGTACGTTACTAAAGGAAGGGGGAGGGGGCAGCATCGCGGCGGCGCAATGTGCTCCGTCAACAATAACACTATCCTTTGCAGGAAAAGATAGCGCCGGGAGTGAACCATTCTACTTGTGCAGAGAGAAACTTACGGAAAATGGAAACGAAAATATTTGTTATGGTTCAGAATGCTTGGGTATTGTGTGCCATTAAGTCCCCCCCTCCCCACCCCAGCGGTACTTGAGCCAAAACTTGTGATAAATGTCAAAATGACTGTACGAAAATCAAAAGGAAAAAAAGAAAATGCAAAAGGGAGAAAAATAAGGGTGGGCTTATGGATGGCAACACTCATTCATGACTAGAACATCACACAAAAAGGTGGAGAGCAGTGAGAGCGGGAATGTAAAGTGACGAACATATCGATGGATGCTCGGGGGTTGCAAAGCGCCGATCTCAGCCCTTTGCAAATACCAAAGAACACTCTCAACAAACTCATAGCGATGGCTGCTTCTCAGTACTACACAAACAATCTGCGAAGAAATTGAAAACCTCTGAAACAGCGGCTTAACTATGCGTGAAAACCTCCAATAGAACTCCTATTAAAGCTATAACATTAAAGTTAATTACTGTCACGAAAACTGGCTATCATAATACTGACGTAGTAGCAAAAGGAAATACCCAGTTACATCTACATTATCCAAGAGTAATGGTGGGAAGTGAATACCGAAAGATAGCAAAGTGCACCATCTAATCGAAAGACAGAAAAAATGTTTTTCGACATGATACCCAGTACTAAGCATACGCAGAAACCTACTATATACTAATTATGCGTCACTAAGGGTTGTGTGTGTGTGTGTGTGTGTCTGACCGGAAATTCATAACTTCTCCCCCTTTGGACCAAGAGCGCTCAAACTTCTAGGATATATAGGGGGCCGGAGGCGTGAACACTGATAGTGGGTGGCGGGAAGTGATAACTACTGATAGAAGCTGATAACGGACGTCGAAATGTTGATGTCACCAATTTCGTTACACCGTTCGCGTTGATGTGGAGAGTTTGCACTCTATCCTACTATATATAAGCGGCTAGCGTGTGTCTGTTGGTGTGTGTGTGTGTGTGTGTATGTTTGAACGGAAATTCATAGCTCGAGTCACAGTAACGATAGCGCAGTGGTTCTTACATATGTTATAGGGGTGGGATGGGACGAAGGCAGAAGTTATTATGGGATGGAAGACACAAGTGGTACGTGATAGGAACTGATAACGACTGATAATAGCTGATAAGAGGGGCTAGAAAGCGAGCATCGCCAATTTCGTTTTGCCGTTCATATTGGTAAAAGAGCGTCTATACTTACAAGTCTTATGTGGGGCGGTCCCGGGACATTGGTGGTACATGATTGGAAGCGATAGCAACTGATAAGGGCTGATAAGATGCGCTAGAACGCAAAAGTCGTCGATTCCGTTGCCTGGCTTGCGTTGACACCAGAGCAACCATTCTTACAAGTGTTATGTGGGGTGGGACGGGGACATTGTTGGTGGGTGCCAGAAACTGATAACGATTGATAAGGGCCGATAAGGCGCGCCAGAACGCTGAAGTCGTCGATTCCGTTGCCTGGCTCGCGTTGACACCAGAGCAACCATACTTACAAGTGTTATGTGGGGTGGGACGGGGACATTGTTGGTGGGTGCCAGAAACTGATAACGATTGATAAGGGCCGATAAGGCGCGCCAGAACGCTGAAGTCGTCGATTCCGTTGCCTGGCTCGCGTTGACACCAGAGCAACCATACTTACAAGTGTTATGTGGGGTGGGACGGGGACATTGTTGGTGGGTGCCAGAAACTGATAACGATTGATAAGGGCCGATAAGGCGCGCCAGAACGCTGAAGTCGTCGATTCCGTTGCCTGGCTCGCGTTGACACCAGAGCAACCATACTTACAAGTGTTATGTGGGGTGGGACGGGGACATTGTTGGTGGGTGCCAGAAACTGATAACGATTGATAAGGGCCGATAAGGCGCGCCAGAACGCTGAAGTCGTCGATTCCGTTGCCTGGCTCGCGTTGACACCAGAGCAACCATACTTACAAGTGTTATGTGGGGTGGGACGGGGACATTGTTGGTGGGTGCCAGAAACTGATAACGATTGATAAGGGCCGATAAGGCGCGCCAGAACGCAAAAGTCGTCAATTCCGTTACGCAGCTTGCGCTGACACTAGAGCGTCCCTACTTACAAATTCTATTTGTAGTGGTACGTGCACACTGTATCATTGTATGACCAGCTTACTTAATAGCAGTCGATTGCATAAATTCAATCAAGTCTTCAGCAAATGATAAGTTTCATTTCTATCAAGAAAGCCCAAACTCATTAAACCGCTAATCCTTTCGGGGTTCTAAATAATGATGAATGTAAATGAATGATAAGCCTTAGCTCCTCACTTATGTAAATAGGCATATTTCATTTTCATTTTGAGACTGACAGCAATCCTATTCACCGCTAAATTATCTTAATTCAAGAAAAATGCTGGATGTTTACAGTTGTGAGATAAATATACCAGTTCAGCTCAGACGTTATCACGCGTATTCTCGATGAGCTTCAGTGAAACTGTGGAGGGTCTAACACAGTCAATAGTGAGATGGTTAATGGAGTTATCTCTCGACAGTCACCCATGGTGAAGGCGTTCTTCCAATTTCGCTACCCCGCGCCGTGTGACTGGCGCGCGATAGCGGCGAAGCAAAAACTCATATATGATATGTGGGGTGAGGCGGGGACCAAGAAGTTGATTGTAAGAATGGGGTAGCAACTGATAAGAACTGATAAGGGGCGTAAAAGTGTGGATACCACCAGTTTCGTTGCGGCCCTCGCGGTGACATTGAAACCTTGGCTTTCACATGTGGTATAAGGAATGGGACGGGAACAAGGTGGCGAGGATTGAATGTGGGTGACAGAAAGTGGTATGAGCGGCAACTGTACTGATAAAAGTAGCGAAATTGAGCGTGCACTCAGTCAAACTAAACCAGGCCCCTAGCAAGTGAATATGTTCCATTCCTATCCTTTCATCCAAAGAAGCAAAGAAAGTTGAGCTGCTCAACTATCCGGACCTGGACTAATAGCGAATAAAATCATATTTCCAATTTCCATCATAGCTCGGTAGATGCTGGATTGATTTCTTCCACTATTTACCTTACACCTGACCCGTGTCCTGTCAACTATGTGAAACGTATCTATATATACCGCTAAATGCCCTCGGCTTCGAATATCATGCCTAAAGTGTTTTAGGATTTGAAGTGCCTTCGTATAAGTTATTACCTTTTTCGAAGTCATGATAAGTAACATTTCCATTCCGCGTGCTACTGCGCGCATTACGCGACAACCTCCAGCGAAATTGGACAACCTTTGAACTTCATGGGACACATCTTCCAAAACATTTTACTGTTAGTTTCTCTGTTACGTGACCTAACATTCTGCAAGTTGTCCAGTTTCACTGAAGCCCGTCATTTGATGCGCGCGGTTGCGTGCGGAGCTAAACTGGTAGACGTCAAGAATTCTCTGAACCCTATTTCTAGGAATGTACTTCAACAAGAATAACGAGATGAATACATTGATCATGACCAGTTCAATATTTATTGAGGAGTCAATAATGTGGACCATGGTGAAATCTCGCCCCATTTATGGCTAACCAAGGCGCGAAATATTATTCTTTGAATTTTCCGTCTGCTGATTGGTTTAATGTGTGATGCTAATCAAAATGACACTTTAGGAAGATGGACGACGAGTTCGGAGAAATTAATGAGTTCTTCGGTAACGACTTCTCTGACAACGAGCCAGATGAGGATGGCGCCGGTAAAATACTTCTTAAAATGTTTTAAAAGGGTTTTCATTTAATACATAGGGTCATTCTTCTCGTTTGCTTCGAGTTTGTTAAGAGCAAGGTTGCTGAATGAGTAAATGTTAAGAAGGCTCTATTCATACGCTGGTAGTGCTAATTGTTGCAGATCACTGGGCAACTTTGTTTCGTTTCAGAAGCTTCAACTGACCAGGTGTTAAATAACCTATTGGAGAAGGAAAATCAAGAAGTTGTGAAAAAGCGTGCAAAGTCACGGTGAGCATTTTTGAAGATTCCATAAAGTTCCAGTGGTAGCTAAATCTCGTTGCAGACCACAGCCAAAATTAAACGAGGCCACTCTCATAGGTCCGAAGGGAATCAAGGCTCTGCAGGATTCTTTCAAGAACTTCAAACCGGATACGAAAAACGACCCGGTACTACAGATTTTCAACAGCTATTCAGTCGTGTTCATGGTTAGTATATTGCCGCCTCTTTTTAGTACGATAATCTCACCGTGATGTTGAAGAAGTACGAACACTGGGCTCATGTCATGTTTCCAAAATTGAAGTTTGAAGATGTTATCAACAGATGCGAAGTTTTGGGAGATAAACGAGCGGTTAAGGTTTGCATACACCGTCTTCAGTCTTTTTGCCCACTGAAGTTGCGAGTTTTACCTAACTCTCTTTTAAAGGTTTACATGATGAAATCTCGACTTGGCATGCCTCTCACCTGACGAGGACTTTGCGCCGATTCGGCGACAAAAAGGCGATGATGTAATGTTCCCATAAGAATTAGTTGCCCTTTCAAGTTCATACACTTAGTTGTTTCTACGAACTTTTTCGTTTAGATTATTCAAACTGAGAACAATGAAGAGGATGCTCGATCGAGAAGGAGCGACAGTGATGATGAAAATTACTACGATCCTTTAGAATCAACGTTCTCGAAAGGTATTGCGTTAATAAATTTTATATGCCACATCTCTTTAGCTCAACAATTCAGGCAAATCCAGTGATGGTAAAACTGCCGAAAAGTCATCGTCGGCTTCAACGACAACTGTACCGTTAAATGGCGACGTCTCCAATGAAGATGAAATTGAATTGATGGAGTCAGCAGAGTTAGCTAGAAGACAAGCCCTAGAAGAAGAGCAAAGACGACGTGAGGAGGAAGAGCTTGCATTGGCTGATGAGATCATGGACGACTTCGATATGTATTGAAGATGTGACTTTGTATCACTCCATACTCATGAAGTCTTTTCCCTAACTTTAGTTCTCATGCTAAAAGATTCGGTAGTTGATATCTAAACAGGAATTTAAGCAGGATGAACTTCGGTTTTTTCTCAGTTAATGGAAACAAACTAATCACTAAATTTTGAGGGATCACTTATCTGGGTAGTAGACGCTTTTGAGAATATTTTCGAGAAAAAAAAGATTCTCTTGTCAGTAACCTTTCCAGACGCTTCTGCACTTGTAAAACTACTCAAAAGCTACTTGTCTGAAACTCGCTTTGTTGTAGTTCATTGTTGACTCAGGAGTCAATGATGAACTGCAACAGGGTAGGGAAGAAGAAGAGAGAAGACTTGCCACAACTGTTCAGCACTGCTTTTATATTCTCCTTTCATTTTCTAGTATGTTACCGGAAATATTGGGTTTCGCAACACAAGAAAGTTTCAAAAAATCAACTCAGAAGGTCTCAAAGGGTAAAATAGAATATTGGCCGCGGGGTCAGTAGGAGGCCTCTCTGGCCCAACGGTCATCCAAACCGGAATTGATCACCTGCCGGATGACCCACCTTATGTTCCATTCCTTGAAAAATGTGACAGTGTTCTCGATCGTGGTAGTGGCCATGGACGTAGATGGGTTGAATTTGCTGTATAGGGGTTGAATGTTGCCAAGTTCGACGATGCTATCGACACTATGGACCATTGAGGGGCCAGTGGATCGAGCAGGGGTAAATTACGGACCAAAAGTCACCGCGTATCTCCTGAACGCACGTAAATCATGGGATGAAACTCCTGTTCCTCCTCGTGGAACTCCTGTGTGCTGTGTCGACTCATACAGTCCTGTTTCGCTATTTGATTAGGCGTGTCACCGGAAATGGCGTGGCTGCCGCCGCACTTGATAGAAGTCGCGCGGATAAGCTGTTCCAACACATTTCGCTGGATATCAGCGAAGAGCAGCTTGGGAATAGCTTATCCTCGCGGCTTCTATCAAGTGCAGCTTTTGCCACGTCATTTTCGGTGACACGTCTACTAGACGGCGATTATATAGACTGTACCAGCTGTCTCCACTCGGGCATGCGAGGAGGCATGCATGTGCGGTGTAGTCTGTGTCTGCGGTCGGAAGCCTGCATTTCAGCACATGCATGAGCTAGAATGTAATCGTCAGGAAAGCATGGAAGGCCAGTGTCGTCTCCAGGAACAAACCCCCGCTTGCAAAAAAAGGATGCCCATACACTCTCAAGTTTGTGAAGAAGCTCATTTTGTACTGCGTCAAATGCTTTATTAAAGGCAAACCCCGGGATTAGCCCGACTAGTAGGAAGGATACCGCGAGGGAAATTGTAAGGTCCGTACCTACCTAGATCACTCCAGCTTCGTCGCGAAAATTGCGCGGTTAGGGCGCTAATCCTTACGGGCCTGCAACCATCGACCCCGAACGCTTCCCACCCACCGCGAGATGTGGTGAGATCAGCGTGCATTGATGTAGAGATCAGCGTGCTCTCTCAAACGACGTGCTCTCTCGCGTATTTTGTCTTCTTTGACCGCCCTGTCTCGCCATCGTACCACATCCGACCCTTTGAAGGTTAAGGCCTTAGTTTCAGCGTTCTCAAAGACTTTCCTTGCTTTCAGGTCGTTCCGCAGCTAAGCTATCACCACGAAGCGCTAATAGCACCACTTTAGTCCAGGGGTTTGCCTTTAAGGTTGGAGTGTATTGTGTTAGCATTTTCCGGAAAGCGAGTAGCGTCAATCTATTTATGGCACATGTGAGAAGTCGCAAGCAGATATGGAAGTTATTTTACAAAGTTGTTTAGGTCCAGCGGGAACTAAAGCAGCATAAAAAAAACTCAAAAAATTCTAAAAAAATATAAACTCACTAAAAATCGTGCTTATTTTACTGCAGCGACTATAGTTATTGCAGTGGTGGTGGGGTCCGCGATCGCGGACATTCGAATTCGGGCGACAGGCCCCCGTGACAGGCCGGCCTGCAAATATCCACGTCATTCATGGTTAATGACGTCGTGTGATTTCCGTTTCGACGACCGTCTAATGAAGATTGTTGTCGTCATCGAACGTAAGCGATACATGCTCCGCAGACTGGCTGCTCTGAGCGAGCCCAAGTTCTGGACCCTGCTGGATGAAAAGACCGCTGAGGTACCGTCAGAAGAGGCTGTCATTGTCGCAGGTGACCTCAACGGTCACGTGGCGCTACGAAAGACGGTTACAACTGTCATGGTGGTTTTGGATATGGGTCACGTAACACCGATGGCGAACGAATTCTTGAGTATGCAAACTCGCACAATCTCACCATCGTGAACACGAATTTCCGGAAACGTGACTCCCACCTCATCACCTTCTATAGCGGTACTACCAGAACGCAAATCGACTTTGTCCTCGTCAGGCAACGCGATCGAGGGCTCGTAACAGACGCAAAGGCGGTGCCGTATGAGACGGTCACCACGCAACATCGACCGCTGATTTGCACGCTGAAGATCGCTCCTCCGAAAGAAGACAGAGTACTTGACCACCGATTTGAGTGAGCCAGGCTCTATTAAGATCAATGGCACTGAGCTCACACGTACAACATCATTCAAGTATCTTGGATCAGCAATCGCGTCCGACGGCAGCCTGATCTCTGAAGTAAACTCTCGCGTGAGTGCAGCTTGGTCCAAATGGCGCTCGATGACCGGCGTTCTCTGCGATAAGAAAATACCAGAGCGACTGAAATCTAAGATCTACAGAACCGTCGTCCGACCAGTCGCCATTTACGGAGCAGAGTGCTGGCCCGTGACTAAAGAGGTTGAGGCTCGTCTCAGTGTAATGGAGACAAAAATGCTGCGCTGGACTGCCGGGGTCACGCGTTTAGACCACATTCGCAACGATACCATCAGAAAGCGGTTCGGTGTGGCTCCCATCGCTGATAAGATGCGCGAAGCTCGCCTGAGGTGGTACGGTCACGTCCTTCGCGCTAATGATGAGAGTGTCCGTAAGATCGGTCTAGACTTTAACGTGCCAGGAAAGCGGCCAAGAGGACGCCCGAAGCAACGATGGCTTGATACGTTGCATGAGGATTTGAAATTAGTTGGCCTTCACCCCGATCAGGCACATAATCGGGAAAAGTGGCGTCGTAATACCAGGAAAGCGGACCCGCCACAGGGTGGGACAAACGCTGTTGAATAAGAAGAAGAAGTTCAGGTACAGTAAGAGTGCAACCGTGGTCGCTTGAAGAGAAGCCCCTTCCTCTCGAGTGGCAAGGGTTGAGAAACCTGGAACTGAAAATACAGGAGCGAAGAACGACTCCGGGGTTCAGAGCGCGTTCTTTATAGACTCAAATAGATTGGTATGTATAGCTGTGCATGTGGCGGTCCGGTTGTAATGGCCTGTTGAAATGGATTGTAAATTGGGTGTTGGAATTGGTTGTCGTTTATACGCTGCAAATCTAAAAATCTGTGTTTATCAATTGAAAGCCATGCATGGAAAGGTTCTTGAAAGCAGTGCATAAAAAGTCAGCTTTCTGGGAAGCTTGAGTGTCCATTCGTCATCACGACTGGAAGGTCATGACGAAAACGAATTTTTTTGCAGGGAATAGGGATGAAACGGCTAGTCCCGGCAATAAAGCAAGCTTCCAGTTCTTTTTCAAAATTTTGCATGGTGTGGGCGTCATGCTACTTGAACTTGAACTCACTGGACAAGAATCGGATGACCTCTTTGGGCCACGATCGACTCCTTAAAGACTTATCTCACAATTCTTCATCATTATTCCGTTATCATTATCTTACATTGCATAAACATAATATGTTTGTGCTTCTAGGACAGTTCTATTCTTGCCATTCACTCTTTACTGCCCTGTGAGGAAGACGCGTCGCTCCACACAAAAGGGGAAGCAATCGGTTAGGAAGATACTCCGTCTACCGTGACCGAGGATTCGGCTACCAGTTAAAAAGTCGTTACAGAGGTAAAATTTTGACTAACGAGTTTTCAGTGGGTTAGTTGATATCCTGCTGTTGACGCAAAATCAACTCACTAAGCTCTTTAGTGAGGTAAGAATGTGAGTCAGATGCTCCATCTCTAAATATAGAAACCTTTCGAAAAATCTACCAAACCCTGCGATCCGATTTCGGTGCACCGATAGATTTTCAAACTGTGCTGTTGAACCCAATAAAGTCGTACTTTATCAAAAGTTTAGTTGGCATCATCGAGTGCCCTAATTTCTTTACAGTGGCAACTAAAAGGTAATCGTTTACTAGTACTGTGATGAGCTATCACTCATCGTTCGTGCGACCAAAAATTGGTGTGTCGCTTATTAGCACCGATGCAAAAGCTTCGAACACTACATAAATCCATGAGTAGCTAACACGTTCGAAATTGCCAATCCTTTCACTACCCGAGCCAAATGTCTTTTCGAACTTGCTTTTGTAACCTCTGTACAGGCGATGGAGAAGTACCAAAAAATGTATAAAAAATGTTGGTTAGCGCAGGAGTAGTAGTGAGTGGTGCATAGCTCTACACCCGTCATTGAGCAGGCATAACCACAGTACCTCAATTAGAGAGCAGAGCAGGCCCTTTGAGCCGAACATGTGGTCAGGATGCACGTAGATTCCTTGCCGCTTGTCTTGTCTAATACTTTTTAGGGTGGTCTGAATTGCGGAAGACCTTGTAGCGCATGGGATTTACAAGCTTGCATCGCAAACTTTTTGCACACAACTTTTCGCGTTGATCCTGATTATCTTGAGACTGTCGAGTCTATAGCCTATTTTCTCAGGCTCTTTTTGAATTACCTCACATATCTTTTCTGACCTCGTGACAGGAGACCACCTCGCGGTCGGTCCCTTCTGCGATGGCAAGACCCTCTTGCTCAAAGGAACAATATTTGCGATTCTAATTCACGTAAGGTATTAGTCCATTGGACGGCATTGGCTCAAGATGGAACATCGTGGAAGAAAAGATGGGACCCGCGCAAGAATAATCGTAGCTGATAACGGGTCGCCAAGTAATCCAAG